CTAGATGGGTACAGAGGGTCTCCATCTCAATCCATGGGAAGCGTTTGCAATTTAATGGCGGACGCCTCTCTGGACAGATTGCTTGCTTGTGCGCATGCGCGGTTGCGGGGCGGGGAGGAAAGCGGGTGTCTTTTTAGACTTCGGCTAGGTAACGCAAGATACCGCCCGTTACAGAGGGTATATAGCCAGTAACATCCATCTGGGCGGGACACTTGCAGACGACGAACGCTTTCGTCTTCCCCTCGCAGCTCGCGTTGCAAACGCTGCCCATGACCCACGTGACCGCGATTGGGACAGTTGCAAACACTCTCGAATCTAGGCACACCGGTTTCTTCCTTCCAATGTAGGAGTGTACGCCCACCCCTCACCCCTAAACAAGTAACGATAATTATAGAGTCCATTGCCGTGGCCAGCAGTTCAACTTCTATTATTATGGTACGGTACGGTGGCGTTGTTTTCATTTATTATTAATAATATTATTTTTAGAATAGGGCTTTCTTATATTCTTTTGTGCCGAACCGTTCTTTTTGTTGGGACTCTCTGTGCGCGTGACGATGCTCGTTTCTGTTCTGGGTCCGCCGCCGCCTCCGTGGTGTATTGTATGGTCTCACTTCGGCGGCGTGCTGTTTGAAGATGTGTTGTATTGTGAAGATTCGGGGTTTCAGTTTGCTCTTTCGCCGCCGGCTGTGTGTACGTGCAGTAACAATCAAACTTAACTGGAGCACGAAAATGTAAATACTTGCGCAGAAAAGAAAAAAAAAAGCTAAGGGATAACAGCTTTCGGCTATGTTTATGGGAAGCGAAGATATGAAAAGTGAATTGTGTTGCGTTCAAGCTCTCTTAGCCCGTTGGGTAGTTTGCGTTTTCTTTTGTACCTTTTCTTTGGGGGATTGGATGCTACCCTGTTGACAGTCTCTATCCGTCTTGTCAAAAGTTGAATTCAAAAAAAAAAAAAAAAAGAACATGAAAATGGCGGGGTACCGCGCTGATCTAAGGCGAAGGCGCTTTGGCGTGGAGACGCTTTATTGAAGGTAGGTTTCGTACGTGCAAAAATAGATTTCTCCGATCGCACCTTTCAAGACTTGTTCTTTAAAAAAAAGAAAGAAAAAAATAAATGCATTAAAAATACTTAGTTTCTGAAAGCTAGTGATTTGCCCTTTCGGAAATGCCATTTATTTTAACCACGTCCCTCGAAGTTCCTTAGTGATTGTGAAACCAGAACTCCAGGCTCACCCGAACATCTCAGCGCCCTGGGTGAACATTTCGTGACGTTACAATGGCCGGCAGGTGCTACAATTATGTAATTATAGAGGCTCGTGAGGTCGGACAACAAGGGCCGAAGCGTGTCAGCGCCCCTTCGCTGTTCAATAAGATGCGTTCTCTTTTTTTTATCAGATAAGGTTATTGCGCACGAGTGACTTTACAAGCACGTGACCTTTATCTTCTGCATGTTTTTTTCCCCCATAACTCGTTTTGCTGTGACACATGTACTATACTTATACTCGTCGTCAGCACTATTAACGTTGGAAGTCAGCGCCGTTTGTCTGTCCTCGTTTAATCTCTCCTTGTCGTTGCGCTGTTTTTGTGAATTCGAGAATGATCCAACTATAAACTTTGTTTCAACTTGAGTTCAGACGCTGGACCAATAAAACGGAAACATTCTTAATGACACGCGCTTTTGACGCTGCTTTTTTCGACCCATTACCTCGTTAGCGTCGGCTGCATCTGGACTTGGGCCGAAACAAAAGTATTAGCCCGATCGTCCATACGTCATCCAAATAAAGAATTCACGTTGTCGTCCCCGCGGATTCCGTTCGCCATATAAATAGCAGCTACGGGCGAGGCGATTGGATTCTCTCTCGGGGTTATTGGGCACCCGCCCCCTTCGCAGCGTCCCGAACAACCCGCGGCGACGTCTCTGTGGACGTGCGGTGCATGCGTCTCGCTCGAACGCGCCTCGCTTCATGCTGCCTCGGTGGTAGCCCCGCGGGAAGGGGGGGGACACGATCCGTCACAATGGGGGGCCCTGACACACAATGGCGGCGGAAGAAAGTATGTTGTAATGATGGCAGCTCTCGGCTGGATGCATTTGTGGAACAGCTGTAGCCAGCGACGCAATGCCACTGTTGCTGCGGCTACCGTGTCGAAACTTGAGGGGGGAGAGAGGTGACACAGCTCCCTGCACGCGCGTCCCCCTCTTTGTGGTCTCACTTTGAGTTTGAGCCTGTCGATGTCAAGATGTGTGTTTGTGTGTGTGTGTTACGGAGTCGGTGTCAGTGGGCAGGAGAGGTCGAGGGTTGCCTGCGGTAGATGGCTGCTGAGTGTGGGTTAACGCGTCTGAATGTAGGTGATTGAGGGTTGATGGTGTCTGCGAGTCGAGGTCATTGAGGACTCTGGCGATGACAAGTCTCTGAAGATGGGTGGACGACTGCGTGTTGATGGGTGTAAGGGTTAATAAAGGTGGAGAAGTTAATAGTGATAAATTGCTGATGAAGATTGGTTGATCGGCGGATGTAATTTGATGATTAATAGATTAAGAATTTTTTATTTACTTATTTATTTATTTAAAAGTACTGTCAGCACTCACTTGAAGGCTATTACAGGAAAGGCATCAACAATATATATACAGTCATATCAAAAATTTAAGCTCTATACATATGTACAGTCTCCGGCGATATGAAAGACCCGCTGGGAGCGCGTGGCCGAGCCAGTGGCTGGCGGGGGCGCTACGAGCGCTCCGGGCAATTCCATTCTGCTTCGAGGGGAGGACGCTCACTCGGGGCTCAGCACAAACTGATAAGCGCGCGCTTTAGCTGAGCCCCGAGTGAGCGTCCTCCCCTCGAAGCAGAACGGAACTGCCCGGAGCGCTCGCAGCGCCCCCGCCAGCCACCGCCTCGGCCACGCGCTCCCAGTGGGTCTTTCATATCGCCGGAGACTGTACATAATGGAAGAAGACTGTTATACAATTGTTAATGAAGACAACATGAACGTATCGCTACACGTATCGCTACAGAATTAAAAAAAAAACACACACACACACCTCGCACACACATGCACCTCGTTGCTGGTATTGGCCCCTTGTGTTTTCAAATCGGGAGTATGTGCAACCAACTAGCCTAACTTTTTAACGTAAGTTAATGAGTGTATGAACATAAAAGGTTAATATAGTGATAACGAGGGAGGTAAGATAATTATAGAGAACCCCGATACTGAGGCAAGACAAGGACAGCGCAAACACTTATTTTACACCACCTCGTTTGCCCTCTTTTGTTCATTGATAAAGTTTGGTCGACCGAAGATGATTTGATAAATTATATAGGGTACTTAAGATCAAAGGTTGACAGCGACCAAATGTCGATGCAAATATGTTGATAAGGTAAGTCGAGGAATGTATGAATCCATAAGCGTCCGCGAAAGCAAGCCCTATTCTCCCTTCCCTCCTTATTGAAGGGAAAACGAGGATCGTGGTAAAATGTCGATGAAGATTATTAGGTTACTGAAGATAAAAGGTTAGTCGTGATAATAAATCGTTGGAAGCAGGAGAACGAGTAGAAGTTGGTGAATCTGCAGGTTTATGAAGATAAAATATTGATTATGATAAAAGGTAAATAAAGACAGGTTTGCGGACGATGTAAGTTGATGATTCCGATTAAAAAGATACAAGTGATTGTAAAGATGACGATGAAAACCGATTGACTGATATAATTTGATAGAAATGTGAATCTAAAGGCTGATGAAGTTACAAAGGTTGATTCTGACAACAACTTGATCGATATAGGTTGACAGTGTGAAGAAGATAATCTTTCGAGTTTGTAATTTAATGAAGATTAAGGGTGATAGGAATAAAAACTCGACGATGATATACACAGCTTGAAGGAGGCTAGATGTTAAAGAAAATAATGGGTCGAACAAAAGTGTGATGGGAATAAAAGTTTGATAGATATATCCTAAAAAATGCTGATTCGTAATGGCTGCAAAGAAAATATTTCATTTACATTGCGCAATTTTAATCACCTGCCGAGGGCAGTATGCACACGCATGATGTATCATCATACGTAGTCACTCCGTCAGGCGCCATAGTTCTTGGCACCGATCACCATTGATGGTGTCTCCCCAGAAACTGTCTGCCTCCTCGGCAAATGAGTTCAGATTGGTGAATCGGAAGCTTCCAATTATTTTTCATCCGTGCCGTTCACCAGAGCTTGATGTGGAGTGACAGGCCCCTTTGTGCCATTTTTACTCTAGAGCGCATTGTTTCCAATTATTCCATACGTGCATGTTTCAAATGATGCGATGGTTTTTGTAAACACCGCCTGTACGCATTGATGTCGCGCTCGTGGACGATTGCATAACATGCCCGCGCTCTTACGAATAGTGAGTGTCTTTTTGCCGATAAAGTTTCCGCTATGCATGACTTACTTGACATGGGATACTTGAAGATTTCCACCTATCTATCTGCCGCCTGAACAGCAATGCTTAGCCTCTGTCATAAAGTACGTGGTGCAAAACCAGTGTAACGGAGATTGTCTGAGCCTAGCTAAGCTTGGAATGGACCAAATCTCAACATACTATATCGCGAACTTTTCTCGAAACTGAGGTTCGCCTGGTTCCGCGACTCTTCGAACTTTACGAAATATTCCTACACAAAGTTCGAATTTTAAATTGAAAAGGTCGAACTTCATTCGAACCTTCGCCGAACTTCGAGGTGAAAGTTCGAAAAAGTCGAACCTGGTAGAACTCGACCTTCGGCGGGTTCGCAGCATCCCCACGTACTCGGGTGCACGTCTATTCGACACGAGCGCTGCGTTAGCGCTCGGCGCGAATTCAGAACCAATCATACGCTACGCGCAGGAAGCGATCAAAGTGTGAGGCGGCCGCCATTGTTGCTTGACAGCATTCCTAAAGGAGTCTATTATGGTGCGTGTGTGAATGAACTATTCGAGTAAAGAGAGATTCAAGTAAAAAGGCGGACAATAATTTTTTTTTTTCTTTCTTTGCAGGCATGCGAGGAACCTGGGGCCAAAGTGAACGTCGAGGTGTTCTACGAATCGTACTGCCCGGACAGCAAGCGCTTCGTACTCGAACAGCTCAACTCCACGTACAGCGAACTCTCCAACATCATGGAGCTGCAGCTCATTCCATACGGGAAGGCGTCGGTACGTGCCGCTGGAAGATGCCTACTATACTCGTTTTCACCTCAAGAAAAAAGGACGTTTTGCGCATTGTTCATACGCCGGACGAAGTAGTTCTTACAAGATTCGGTTGTCGAAGGAGGAAGCGATCCTTTTGGCGTTTGAAACGTATACGTCTTGATTAGATAACATATATCTAATCTAAAATGCACCTACATATATATTAATTCTCCTCGTAAAAGGGGAAATTGGTAATGCTCCGCGAGGAGCCGGACTTTTTTTACTTCGGTTCTTGAGGTGAAAACGGGTATAGATGCAACATAGTCGTAGATCGCTGGGTGATTCCCGTTGCCTTACAATACACTGTCCTCTCCTTCTCCGACATGCAGTGGGTAAGGATTTTTATTCCGGTTTATCACTTTGATTATGATGGATGTCGTAAGTCTTGTACGAATCGTTCGCGTTTATTCGTCCCATGTCTCGCGAGTCTTTGACCTACGGAGATCGTTCAAAAGAAAGCCCAACTAGCGCGAAGGACAACGGCGAGTTCAAGGCGACAGGACAAGCTCGCTTTAACTAACAACGTTTACTAAAAAAAAAAAAAAAAGGAGGTCGTGAGGAGAATTGTGAGGAAAAAGAAAGGGAGTGAAGGAAAATAAAATAAAGGCGGTGAGGATGTGTAAAGAAAGAAATGATTGCAGTTAGAAGTAAAGAAGGAGCCTTGAAGTAGAAACGTACATTACGTTCTCTTTATTTTTATTTTGTATCTTTCCGTTTTTAGTATTATTATTTCAGGGTGTTCGCAGTTTCCTTTGGCAGCTTTCTTCTCTCCTTCGACTTTTCTTTGTCTTTTGTATCATTTCGGTGTGTACGTCTAACTTGAGATCGCACCTTGAGTGTCTAAAGTTGCCAGTGACATTATAGTTCATCGGATAATATTGGAACATCATTAATTCTTTCGCTTTTCAACGATCGCAACAATTTCTAGAAAAATTTTTATGCTGACGAATACGTACTTGTGAAAACGTTGACGAGTATTCTGTGATTCTCTCTAACGGAGACGACAATGACACGCTATGAACGGCGAAGCGGTATCTTGTTTTGAACCGCCTGAGAGAGTATACTGCTCATCATTCACATTTAGCTTTTTACTTGGATCTCAAGGTTGCGCCACTTAAAAAGATGTCATAAAAAAAAAAAAAAAAAAAAAAAGTCGTCGGCGAGTGTGTTTCGTAGCTGACAGAGTTTGGGAAATGTTTGGAGATCCATCTTTTGTTTAGACGCAGATGCAGGACCCTCAACTCCCGTTCATTTTGCAGATACCGCAGAGGCGGACTTTGTATTTTGCCGCCCTTTTAAAATTGTAGCGCCCCCGCTCCCCATGGTCAGTGGCCATGGGGAGCAGGGGGGGGGGGGGGGGGGGGATAGCTAAGTTTGTAGTTAAAATTTTAAAGTTTGTAAAAAAATTTCCAATTTTTTTTTTAAGCCGATTAATTTTGGAGCGGCCATAAATTGGCCGCTTCAAAAATTTTGCCGCCCTTGGCAGCTGCTTACAACCGGGTGTTTTTGCGAAGGCTTTCAAAAATACTGAAAAAATAAAGTGGTTGAGGAGAAACAGGAATTCTTTCCGGGAACAAACAGCCAGCCACGTGGAACACCGATAATTGCAAAAGACAATCTAATTATCTAGATACTTGACTAAAATTTACGAATCAACTTTGTATTTACTGAAGGTAAAGATATTGCTGAAACGAAAACGTCGCTAAGCACCTTCGAAAACCACTAAATCAACTCTTTTTGAAGAGATATAAATTTAGAAAATATTTACGGCGTTCCGCAAGAAGGCAAAAACGCTAAATTTGGTTGCGTTATCTAGATTTTCGTTTTTCTTTTATTTATTTATTTATTTTTTTTTATCGAAGCGCGTTTTTGCACCAGTTGTCCTGCAGGTTCTGCTCCCTGGTGTTCGAGGCGTGAAGCCACCACCTCGTCGCCTCTCTCGCAGAAAGGGGGGAAGGGGGGAGGGGAAAGGGGAGGGAAGGAGGGGTTAGTATGGCGCACGTGTGTTGCTCGTCACGTGCGCCATACTAACCCCTTTCTGTATATATTTCTAAAGTGACTGGATTTCATGGTTTTCGATAAAGGCCCGTTCACACTCTTGCGACCTCTTAAACCTGGGTTCCTTAAAACTTGTTAAACCAGAAAACACACTGGCGCCATCTATTGGGAAGCAGTGTAAACTCGGCGGTCCGGCATATTTTTTTTATTTCTCGAGAATTATCCTTTCTTTCTTGGCTCCAAAAACTTTTGACAATGTTATAAACGAGCCTTTCTATGGGTATTACGCACATTTGACCTCGAAAATCCCGCAAAACCTTTGCTCTTGTGAAATGCAGTTCCAGGGTCACCGCATAGATGGCGCCACAATGTCAGTATGTTCCCTCATTCTAAAAACATTTAAGAAGTTGTAAGAGATCTCGTCTCTCTCAGTCGTACTCAGTCGCAAGAGTGTGAACGGGCCTTAACGCTTAGCAAGTTTCTCATTGGAACCGTGCGTTTATTTTCATTAATTAAAAGGTTAATTAGTAAATTTAACTACTTATTTAGCTAAGTAGTCTGTTTTTGTTTTTGTTTTCGATTCTTGTTCACAATTTCTTTACATAATTTTTTGTGTGTATTTTCGGCTACTTGTTTTGTAGCGGGGGGCCTAATGCAAAATGCGCGAGTGCCTGACAAGGCCTTGGCCCCCTCTTATATGCAGCGGTCATCATATAGGTAAAAGTCTCAAAAGGAAAAAAAAATACAAAAACGCGCCATACCGAAATTGCAAATAGGCTCAATAGTCAAATCAAATCACAAAAAATGACAACCTAAATAGTTCAAAATCAATAATCAACCACCTAGACACACTAAAAACTTAAAATTTGATACATTTTTATGGAATAGTCCAATAGTCTAAAACACAAGAGTTATGTGCAAGTTTATTCTAGGGGCATTTGTCAAATTTTTTTCGAATACATGTTGCTAAAATGAGAAAGAAAAATTTAGAATACAATAACTCTTTTTGCACAAAAACAGTGAATATAAATGATAACAATCTATATATAAGAAAGCGAGCAGTTGCTTACACCATGCACTATGCTGTATCTTTAGGTACGAAGAAGATATTTTATTGATAGTTACATACTGATATCGGTCGGTCAAATAAATTTGTACTAATTTTTGTGTTATTCCGCGTATGCCGTATTTATCAAGTTTCCGTAATAATATTTCGTGTTGCACAGTATCGAATGCGTTTTTTTAAGTAAAAAAAACAAAAACAAAAAACAAGAGTATATAATTTACTCTCAGTGTTCGCAATTATTTGTTCTTTGACGTCTAGAACAGCTTGCTTCGTAGGCTTGTGTTTTTGGAAGTCTAATCTAGAAGACTTTGTGACTTTGTGATTATTGAAGAAGTCGTTCCAGCTTATTCTTTATAATAGTTCCAATAATTTTAGAAAATATCGATAAAGAAGAAATTGATCTATAATGGTTTGTGTTTTTTTCACCCCTCAAGCACCCTATTTTTAGGGATTCTTGAATGGGAGAATGGCAGGTATGTGTGAGGGTGATGACGTGGTAGAAATCTTGTCGGTTGGGTTGTAAATTTTTTTGTGTCTTTATTGGTTCTTTTCTATGCTCTGTGTTTATTTTTCTGGTCCGCCTGAAAATTAAACTTTAGTTGACAGTCAGCGCTTTGTCCGTGCACTTCTTTCACTTGTCCTTTGTTCAATTTTTTGCGCTAATTCAACGTTTGACTATGTTAAACCAACTAGCCCAACTTACCGCCTTGTTATTCTTGAAAGCCATTGCTAAAACGTACTTGGTATAGCGAAAAAAAAAAAAAGAAGAAACGTACACGTACGTATAGCGAGTTCAATTTGGGCTTTTGTGCTTGCGCTTTTAACACCTCTTGTGAATATATTTTTCTACAGAGGCGACAGGTGCCGAGTACAAAATGGTACACCTTCGACTGTCAACACGGAGACGAGGAATGCAAAGGAAACCTCTACCAGGTATAAGACACCGCGCGGATCGGCGAAATAATTGCTCGACTCGTTATTTATATATATATATATATATATATTTTATTTTTTTTTTGCTTTTTTTTTTTTTCTTTCCAGGCGTGTGCAATCCAGTATCATCCTGACCCCAGTGTCCACCTTCCGTTCATTGCTTGCATGTTCGAATCAAGCTCTCCGAACAGCGCTTACAGGAGGGTAAGAGTTGTTCACCTCTCATCTCTATATATCTTTTTAGCATTTTAAACCTATATTTTTTTCTTTTACTTAAGTTGTGCAAGCCGGGGGATTCCACCAAATCCTAGGTTTCAAACAAACCCGCGGAGGTCTTAATTTCAAAGGTCATCTAAAGAGGCAAACGGCATAGGCACGGGTTAGACCAATGTCGCCTAGAAGCCCGAAACGCCATCACTATGCAGAGCGCAGGTTCGTCCGCTTTTTTGCACAGGCGTTGCGATGATGTCACAACGCCGAACTCTTATTGGCTGATTAAAAAAAAAATAGTGAGCAGACGGTTTGGCGTTTATAGCATTGAGGTTCACCCACTATCCTTTCGATCAAAGCCAATTGGAGCCCGGCGTCGTTCTGACGTCACCGCAGCTCCTGCGCAAGAAGCTGCAGACGAACTCGCTCCACGTAGCGACGCCTATAGCTTGCGTCAGCGTCGCTGCCGACGCGTCTCGGCAGTGTTCTCACAACGAGCGCGACGCTATAGAAACGCGGTGGCGCCAAGACGGACGCGCCTGCGGCTTTGCGGCGACTCTCGTGTCAAGCTTCGGCGTGTTTGCCGCTTGGTGGCAGGTCGTGGGTTTGCTAATAACGACGTCGTGCGCAGGCGCCTTTGTCTTCTTGAAGGTATTGGTTAGACACGAGTGTACTGCGTTTGGCAGGAGACTGGTCTCAGCCGAACAAAAGTGCGGCGCTCCATGTCCAGTTTGCGCACAGCGTTTGCCTCTTTAGATGATGTCGAAATTTCAGCCCTCCGGCCTTCTTGTTCGTACACAAATGGGATCTACTTAAAACCTGCAAATAGCATTAAAGAGCTCAACCACAAATCAACGGCTTATACGTGTAATCACCTGTCACGCTGTAGTAAAACGTAAAGTTCCCTCCTATCCAGTGACTTCAGTAAAACGTAGCCCAGTTCGGAACAATAGCACCGTGCCCGTCCTGGTTCTCAGGTGTTATACAACAAGGGCAGTCAACACCCGGTGCCAGTAGAAAGAAAAAGAAATGTGCAGGAAACGCTTTTCTATCCTCCAGAAATGTTAAACACAGTCCACGACAGAGCAAGACGTTATCGCCCGAGCACAGGAAGTCGCATTTTCGAACTGAGCACCAAAATGGCGGCGTTCACGAGAAAATGAGTTCCAATGGAGTGCGTACACTCCGGGCGCAGCCTTTTTAGTGGATCTAGCTATACCCCGAGGGAAAACGCAAGTCGTTGGGCTTTTTCTATTTATGATTAGTTCAGCGAAGGTATTGGGCATGCGAACACCATGATGGTACACTTTACATTATTATATGTATGCGCTGTCCGATTGGTCCTATCAGCTCGTAGCGTCGGCTGCGATCGAAATGTGAGACTGACGAGTGTCGCCATCTATCGTCATGCATTATTACAAAACGTCGCAAGTGTCGCCATATATTATGTATTTCACCTATTGTAAATATTGTTGACATAAATATAGCATAAAATCCCGTAAGAACGCCCACCCGAAACGAGAAGATAATTAGGGAACAAATATCGGGTGGGCTATCTTTGAAGATGAGACAACAATGCTTTATAAAAAAATTCGACAGAGACACTGCTTACGTGTAGGAATGCGAAAGCATTCCTACACGTAGCGCATTTCTACGAGCAGCGCGCCACGCCCTCCTTTTTCAAATGGCGTTCCGGCGGTGGCATTACTCTCCTCCACTACAGAGGCGCGGCGCACCGCCGGCTCCACGGCTTCGGGGACGATGCATCTGCGTTGCTGTGCTTTTCTTTGTGTTTTATTTCTGAGGCGCGTCTGTTTCGGTCTCGAGCGGCCCCGCGGGCTTCCGCGTCGCAGCCAGTGGGACTTTAAGTGCCGTTTCGCTCAGCCAACAGACGGCGCCGGCTTCGCTGGATGGTACCAGTTAACGCATTCCCATTAAAAATTAGTGGTAACCACAAAGGCACCCGCTACAAGCCTCGTGACACGGGAACTGATGCCCCAGATTGTGTACACGGGCAAATTCGCGTTTCGCGGTTCGATAAACACGCGGGAATTCGCTACGAATTGCTACGTGTTACGGGGAAGGATATCGCAGATTGCGGAAGCAAGCATATTTGTGTTTCGCGGTGCAAGAAACGCGCGGGAATCCGCTACAAACTTGCGTGTCACGGGAACCGATATCGCGCGCGCATATCGCGGACAAAAAACGCGGGAACCCGCGACGAGCTGGCATGTCACGGGAACGGATACCGCAAGTCGCGGGCGCAGGAGATTCGCACTTCACGATGCAATAAACACGCGGGAACAACTCGCGTGTTCGCGCGCGCAGATCGCGGACAAAAACCGCGGGAACCTGCTACAAACTCGCCTGTCACACGTAGCGGTACCGCAGATCGTGCGGTTGATCCGATTCCCGTCGTACGTATCGTGATGTCCGACGGGAATGGGGGGGCGGGGGGGGGGGGGGGGGGGGCGTTGTTTCGAATTTTTCTATTTTGTAGCTACTTTTAGACAGAAAAACGGGATGGGCGATTTTTCGGGTGAAGGCGTTCGTGCGGGATTTTACGCATACTTATCCAAATTACAAACCGTCGTAAGTGTCGCCATCTTTTGTTATGCAGCTCATCTATCGTAAAAATTGGTGAAATAAACACTTGTCCAACAGGACGTAGCATGAAACGAAGTATAGTATATAGCTTATAAAAGACTATAAAGAGTATAGCGTTGAATTCTTTTTCCCTTCTGTGCCACAGTGCGCCCTCAAGTCAGGCTTTGACCTGGAGGTTCTAGCCAAGTGCAACACCGACAAGGAGGGCAACGACCTCATGGTCAAGTACGCCGAGTGGACCGAGAGCGTGAACGCCAAGAAGCGCCTCGACTTCGTTCCCTGGATTCGCATGAACTCGGTGAGTTTCGCCGACTGCTTAGGACAACAAGGTGACAGTCTGTACTAAAACAAATATCTGAATCCACTTTCTTCGATATCATAAGCCTAATGTTGCAAAATGAGTTAGTCATGATCTTTCGTGTCGTTAACAAGCGGTGGGCAATTACCATGGACCCTTTTCCACGCGGGCGCCGCCATCTTTAATCGCGGAGCTTCCGGTTTGCGGAAAAAACATTGTTTTGCTCTCTCCACATTACTGGGAGGAGCTCATGTTTTAATCGAGAATGTCTATAACTCTTATTTTGCCTTTTCTAGATTTGTTTGCTTGTTCCAGCTGCAACGTTGTGCTTTATTTCACCCCGCATGCCGGATTTGTCAGCTACGTGGTGGGTGACGAGGGTAAACTCAAGTCTATACATGGCTTGCACTGGCGTCACATTAGCTGTCATTGTAACAGTGTTGTAGGCGTTACCGAAAAAAAAAGTAATTAAATGCATTACTCGTTACTTGCAAATCAAAGAATTGCGTTACTAACCTACGCTACAGTAAAATAAAAGGAACGTGCTTCCGTTACGGTTACCACTAAAAAGTAATTCACAAAACTTTTATTTATGAGTTAAAACATGCTACTGTTTTGAGGTTACAGGTACGCATAAGCGCCGTATTTCAAGCCTTAACTGTTAACTTTTTTTACGGTTATGATTTTGGAGGTATGTGGCATGGAGTGCAAGAATTCATACAACTTGACGCTTAAAAGAACGAAAAAAATGCAAGTTCAGATTTGTCAAGTCTTGGGAAGATGTAACGGGTTACAAATTGTGTAACCCGTCACTCAAAATAAGTTACGTAAGTGCGTCCTTCGTTACGGTTTTGTAAACGTAACGAGTAGGTTACTACGTTACTGAAAAAAAGCAACGCTTTACCCGTAACGCCGTTACCTGTAACCCGTTGCCACCAACACTGTGTTGTGGTGGCCTCGCTGCTGAGCGTGTAACATACCTTTTGCACCATTCATGATTGGCACTATCAAAATTGTTTTTCTCGTCAACTGCAAGTAAGTACGACGCCGTTGGGGGAGTGTCCCTGCAAACCGGAAGTCTCCCCCGGCTTCACTTCCGGTATATAGTCACCGGGCCACTGCGGTGGTGCTGCTGTCGGCACTACGCATGCGCAGATGCTTCATATTGCCGCGCGCTGCCGACTTGGCAAGCTGCGCGCGCGGCAATATCACGTGATGTTGGTTTCTCCGCGCGCGCACTGCCCACACCCGGTGTGGCCAGACGTTCGCTTGTTTTTAAAGGGTGTATTGGGGGGGGGGGGGGGGGGGGGGGTATAGGTGCTTGTATATTAGTCTGTTAACTTGACAAGTTTTTTTTTTTTTTTGTCAATTCTGAAACGAGAAAAATAACTTGCGCTGCAATGTACATGACATTATCACTTCCAAAAAAAAGATTATAGTATTTACGTTGTGCATTTTTATTCTCCCACTTTCAGAAAGACAAGATGTTCTCCGCCTTCACGGAGTTCAAGAAAACTCTCTGCGAAGAATACGACCGAATGGCCAAGACAACCTGCCCGGATGTAAGTGCAGTCAATTGTAGCGTGTAGCGCCGAAGCAAAAATAGGCGTTCTGGGCCGGTTGAGTGCTTTGCTTGTTGGACCGTTCTCGGGACGGTATAGTAAAGGGCTTGTAAAACTAAACTTCGATATTGAGGTTTTGGGGTTATCTCGAGGAGTTTGTTTGGAAAGCTTACGGGATTCAGATTACTGTACACGATCGTAATTTCTTCGTTACTATTGTCCGTTTCGAAGAAGGATCCCGGGGAATGTTTCGCCCCGAAATTCCCGGATAAAAGTGCCCTACTTAGTTGAAACGCGCTATTCTACTGGTGTCACTAAATGGGACACCGCGAAACACGCGGCTCTATTGGCTAATTCTGCTGAAATCGACGGCACCCAGTGGCTAGAACAAAAGCTGTGGTGCAGGTTCGCTCACGAGCCTTCTCGAGCGAATCGGATATTTACAGCGCCTGCAGCGGTCTAAAGAAGCCGTGAAAGTATTATAGGTTCAAAAACACGCGATGAAAATCGTCGATATCCACAACATCACTTAATCTGTAGAATTGTCAGATCGACGGTTTTTTTTAAATTCCTGCCACCGACTAATAGTTTACCGGAAGGAGGGCCATTGGCACAGCAGCCCTCAACTGCATGTGGGCGGGGATTTGTTTTTTTTGGGGGGCAGAGTTTTTTGTTTTTTTCTCAACGCAGTTTGTGCAGATCTTGCGGCTGTACCGATATTGATGCAAAAGCTCGTAGGGACGGCAGCGCGCGCGCTCCGGGGCAGCGGCTACTGCTCTTTTGTGTTTGTATAGTTTGCGAGGCGCGGAGGGGAGAAACGGACGTGCGTGTACAGTTCGTGCAGTTTTTGACGATTTCGTACCTACAACGCGCAGAGATAGGCATTATGCCGATAGGGTATACCGACGCCAAGAGCACGCTCGTCTTCTTTTTTCACGTGCACAGTAAAAAAAAAATAAAGAAAAGGTATATACATTAAAACGCGGTTCTGACGTCATGCAGCTGCGGTGGCGCTGCTGTCGACTCGGCGCATGCGCAACACGTATCGCTTGACGCGGGTCTGGTTCCTGCTGTCACACGCAGCGCCCCCTCGTGGACTGTGGGCAAAAACGCGAACCTGTTTGTAAACAGCGTGCAGGTCCATATGTCTCTTACAGAATGTGAAAACGGAGGGGCGTGTATTTGGAACGGCCGGCCGGCCTTTAGCACGCACTCCATGCCTTCCACCGTGCTTTGACTGCGTGCGCGCGCTTGAGGTGCACCAGACATTGAAGCGTTGTCGAAGGTGGAAGCTCGGGCTGGAGGCAGGAAAACTGTATCAAATCCCGCCATTCTCACGTTGCCAGCGACTATAGCAGCCTGACAGAAGTGAACGATGCACTTTGTTTATTATGTGCGCGCCTGTGGTTGGCAAAAGATATTCTTGAAACAGCCCAGCCCCCCCCCCCCCCCCCCCCCCTCCCCCCATTTATCCCCTTTTCGCTTGAACTCTAGTAAAAAGAGAAGCAGCGCACCTAAATATACTTTCAACTTCGATATTTTTTCTTTCATAAAAGGAACTTTCCTATGCCATTTTATGGTTGTTTTATCGCTTCTCTCTCATTGTTCTTCAGCTGTGTGGAAGACGCGGTGTGCCTGAAGGGCAGCCTTTGAATGACCCGCAAAAAGAAGCCGCTTCCTTTTACCTGGTTTTTAGGCTGCACGAAATTGTGCAGAGCGCCACACACTTAGAACAAACGAGCGACCGCCTAATTAATAATACTAATACTAATAATAATACTTTCTTCGCACTTCGGAGTTTTCGATCCAGGCACACAGGGTCACAAAAGGCAGTGATGCCCATACCACGGAGGCTCGCGGTCCCAACCTGGGGCCTATTATTGCACAAGCATATGTGGAAAACTGAAGTTCAAAGAAAGCAACAAAATACACAATAGCAACACAATGTTATAAGCGACTAGATCTCATAAATATTGCGTAGATTTGATCTTTGTTCATACCCTCCAGACTTCCAGTCAAGAGTTGTATCCTGGTTGGATGGAAGTGTTCCAGGTCTGCCTGATGGATAGCGCGAGAACGAGGCAGTATCGCGATACAAACGTATCGCGTTGGTATTTTTTAAATATTTTTTGTAGTATTTATGTTTCTATATCGCGATACAAATTTTCAATCGGTATTTGTGTTGGAATACATCTGAGTATTTCTTGTATCGCGATTCGATCACGAGCCAGTTCATTTCGTTACGAGGTTTGAGAAATCAGTAATGTGAGGCAGTAATGTCCCCGAGGTTGGTGACTCACTTCCCTATTTTGCAATGATAACGTATGTTTTCCGGGGTGCATCAGTCGGCAGACAATTCCATAGATTCCAAGCGTTAAAGCCGCTGTGGGCGCGACCTTTGCAAGAGTACATTGCGCTCCCTGTCCCATTTATTTTGATGGTGGGGAAAATTCTGCCTTCAGATCATCGGACAAAAGAACGCCAGTTCATTCCGAGGCGACGTCTTGATATGACTACAGGGAAAAGGCGCCCGGATTGAACTAGAGGATGCTTACCTGGACACTTGGCAACAAAGTCCATGCGAGAAACCCGGCGGCTGTGATTGGCCGGCGCCTCACTTGACCTTAAACCGGCTAATCACGGCGTTCGAATTCCTCGCCGACTTTTTGCCAAGTGCCCAGATGAGAGCCCCAGTTGGGGTAATTTGGGTCGACCTAAGTAAGATGCATTAGAGGCTCGTGCGATTTTGCTTCAAAGGTGTGAAGATGTCTAAAGAACTGCGCTTCATTCTGGACGGAAAGTCCAACCTATAGTGAAGGCTCTCTTGGTTCTCACAGCTCGTTAAAAGCAAAATGCCAATCCTACGCTAAAAATTATTTCGGCTTCGAGAACGCCCGTGTTCAATTGCAGGCCGCGCATCTCACGGTTATACTGAGTTTTAGCTCAAGTCTAGACGCAGCCGACGCTACGAGCTCATAGGGCCAATCAGAGGGCGTCAAAAGCATCAAGGTGTTCGTATCTGCGTGTTATATCGTCACTGAACCAATCAGAAAAGGCCAAGTGACTTGCGCTTTCGATGCTGCATAGCGTCAACTGCGTGTGGACTTGATATAAAACAAAGTATAGTAAATTTTTTCCTCTTCTTTTTAACGGAGGATTTGCCTTTTGCATTTGCAGTGCAAACCCCGTGAACGAAGTTTATACCCATTACCAACCTCCGCGCCGAGGCCTTTCTATAATTATGTAGACTAAAGAAATGCCTGCCTCAAAACTTTCCCAGTGTGAAGGCGGTCTTCGTTCATTTTATTACGCGAACCTGCGTTCGTCGGCACCCGTGGAAGCGTAAAGGGATGCTGAACCAAATATTTAAGAGTTCATAATAAGTGGCGCACAATCTTTCCACGACCCAGCAACCGCTGGTGTGCGAGAGCACACGCAACGAAATTGACGTCCGTATTGAGGAGAAGAAAGAAAGGCTTTTCATCTCCACAAACGGAAGCTATACGTGCTTGTTAGACCAATTAATCGCCTACCTTTTATCGCCAGACCCCATCTGTGGAGATGAAAAGCCTGTTTTTATTCCCTTTTTCCCCCGGACCCCACACATTTCAGTGCCCTATCAAGTGTGAACGCTGGATGCTGAGGTCAATTTCATCGCGTGTACTTGCGCACACTGGCGGCTGGTGCGTCGTGGAAAGATAGTGCGCCACTTATTATGGACGCTTACAAATTTGGTTCAGCATCCTTTTAATCTCGTTCACCGACGTGACGCTTTACCTACATCGGCAACGGCTGACTGGCAAGCTATTTGAAAAGCTAGCCCTCCTCAAACGTAATTGAGTGCAACTGCACATTTACGACCGAGTCGAGCGGGGGGGCGTGTTCGGCGCACGCATTGATAGATGACGTTCGGGAGCCGCGTCTCAAGGTGTAGCCGCGCTGTAGAACCCAGGGATCCTGGGCTCAATCCCCACCCCTGCCCGTTTCGATCTGGATGAGCATCATACCGGCGTGCGGTCGTGTACCACTACTGCGTGGTGCACGTTAAAGACCCCATGCTAACGGTTGTACTGCACTGGCTAAAGTTCTCATCTACAACGAGTGACTCGTCGCATCTTTGAAATGGCTGACCAACTACACGCTGTCTAAATATCCCCACAACCGCAATTATTTTCACAGGCAACCGGCAACCCGCAAACCCAGGATATCCCGGAGGCGTGCAGACAGGTCCTTCCGGCATAAGGCTCCCTGCCCGGCGCCTTCGGATCCATCCAAGCCCTAATTCAACATGTTGTTGTCAGTCATCGAGGTTCAAATGAGGACTTCCTCTAAATTGCTACGTGGTCGCGTTACGCCCAAGTGATAACGCTTTTTTTTTTTTTTGCGTTACCACTCTTCAAGCAATATTGTACCTCGTAAAGGTTTGCCTGATTTCGGACACTGTTGCTCGGACTCGTTTAAACGGGAACTGTGTTGTCACGCAGCAAGTGCGGGGAATATTGTTGACTGTTGTAGGCCTGCCTCGCGATGCGCGGCGACGGAATGCAAGCGGGTATCGTCAACGCCTCTTTGGACGCATGGGCCCTGCAATCACTAACGACTTGACAAAAACAAGGCGGTGCAAGTGCACATTTTCAAAAAAGGTATGCGCTGGATGAATGAACGAATGCAGACGTCTGAGTTAGTCTAATTAGCGGCAGCTTGCGCCACCTAGCGGCAAAGGCACGCACGTATTTTGGTGGGAACGAATGCTGCTAATATAGCAGACGACACTGGCGTCGGCTGATCTCCATACTGACTGACTCAATCGGCTTGGAGAGGGGTATCTCAAAGCAGGCACGTAGCCAGGGGGAGGGGGGGGGGGGGGGGGAGGGAGGCCCATTCCCCCGAAATCTTCCATTTTGCTGGGGCCTCCTCTCCCCTTTCTCCTCATGCAGCAGCTTGTCATGATCGCTCCCCCCCCCCCCCCTGGAAACAAAATCCTGGCTACATGCCTGTCTCACAGTCAGCCCACCGCTAGGCTGCGCTTTTATCCAGAAGAGATTAATTGTGACGTCGGTGTTCGCTCATTGGTTCCTTGTTCTTACTAGATCACGCGGGACTCTGACAGGCTGTTCACCGATAATGAGATTGGGGGGGAGTGCTGCGTCATGTTATTGTAAAGTCGTCAGCGATTAAGATGTCACGTTATGAGGCAGGTGAAATGAGAAAGTGGCCAATGGCTGAGGGCCGCAGTGACGTAGCGTTTTTATCGGTACCGTTGAGCCAATCACTGTGTCTAGGATGTGCTGCAGGCTAAACTGATCAAGTGGCCGTGATGCGATGATTTTTGCCTACCTCATGTCACGAGTCAGCACTAAGGCATTGCGTTCAAGCAGGCATTGATCATGTATACAGACTCTTAATTGTTGTTGTGCTCCTCGCGGCAAAGTTAGTTGCATGACCGATGGACCACATCACATCCCGTGCAAAAGTATGCATTGGGGCAGACATTCCAATCATATGAGTAACGCACACACCTTAGGTTTTCTAACTGATTCTACAGATTGAATGCATGAAAAGAGTCAGTCTTTTTAGTATGCAAGTTTTCTTTTTACATTTTGCCTCTTGTGGACCATTTCGCTTTTCTGTGGCTTTAGTTACAACTCTGACCTTTATTTTTATTTCGGCAGTTGTGTGTCTTCCATGTGATCAAAGTGTGTAAATACTCAGTCCGCTTATTTTGTGCACGTTTGTGTTTTTGTTGTTGTTGTTTTTTGTGAAACGTTTTTGGTCATTGTTAACAAATTTTCAACATGCAAGGCGACGGTAAACACTGGCCGATCAAATAATCAAAAATATGCGGTATAGGAACAAATAAATGTTTTTTACGAGGAAAAAAAAAGCGTCATGCGTGCTTTATTTTAGGTCTGCAGGGGACGCTTTTTGTTGCTTGAAAGCAAATAAACTAATTTTTCTCACTGCAAAACTAAACTATGCATCACCGAATTCTGGTCTTTTTTTTCTCTCAAACGTATATGCGAGCAGTTGGGAGACGATGCCAAAGTACCAAACTTAACCTTCCGAAATTTTTAACGAGAAAATGGCATCCTACAGAGCCCACAAATACGCGGAGACGAATGACGGCTGCTATACGGGAAAAAAACGAGCCTCATTTCTCCGCTGCAAAATTTTGGAAAATCGCTCGTGAGTCCTAACGTTTCGATCAGATAACGATAAGTTGGGCAGCTCCGGCATTCAGACCGAACCGCTAAAACTCCACACTCAAACAAAGACTGGGTGTTTGTCGGTTCCCTAAAACTCCCTATTGTGTCTGCCGCCAGTGTTGCCAACCTCTGCAATCGTTTCTTGCCCAAATTTTGTCGAAACATTCCCTAGATGTCCCTAGATTTTCAGAAATTGTGTTAATTTGCGTTAATATTCCTGTAGTTAGGTGGCCATTGAAAGGTTAAATTTTCTTCGTGCAAACCTCCTTACATAATTAAAGTTTGTGTGCCCTCCCCCCCCCCCCCCCCCCTCCCAAAATCGTCGTTGCTACTACCACTGCAGATTATCTCTCTTTTTCCCGTTGCACTCGGCCGAAGCGAGGAGAAAAAAGGGAAGGAACGTGATCTGATGCCCTCTGATATCCATGAAAAAAACAATCCCTAGATTTGAAAAGATTTTCCTTTGCCCCTAAACGATGACGGAAATCCCTAGATCTAGGGAACAATGCCTTAGGTTGGCACCACTGTCTGCCGCGAACACCGCGTCCTTTGTAAGATGATGATGATCAGTGTGGCTGCGGTTCAAAGTTTCACCGAACGTGCACCGGGGAGGTGGTGGACTTCAGCTGATCTTTTAAGGCAGAGCAACAAATGACGACGTCAAAACCTGCCAGGGTCGACGGTGGACGGGTTCGCAGACGACCGAGTTTGCGAGCCCCTGTGCTAATCACCCTTTGTGTGCACTGCACTTAAAAGTGCGCTTAAGGGGCGGGTGCAACGATTTTCGGTCGTTGGCCAAGTCATTGCGAGGATTGCTCTGCATGAGAACACGGTTTTCTTTTTGTTTTCAACATTTATTTATTTATTTTTTTTTATTAAGGAGGGAGGTGGGCCGTGACGGTGACTTGGAGTAGCACGTTCGGTTGCAGCCTCTTATTCAACAATATTTGTTCACTTTAGCACAGCGAGAAAAGCGACACTACGCTTGACCGAGGCGGAGGTAAAGGGTCAGGGCGTCGTACGAAACCGCGACAGTCCTTACCGCAATACCCGTCGACTTATGCAAAAAAAGAGACAATACAAAATAAATATATATAAGGCTGTAATGAAACAAGGCTTAAAATCAGCAACTCGAATTGCACACATCATGAAGGCACCATAGGGCTACAATCTGATGTTTTATGTGCCTTGTAGAGCACTGCACGGGCCTACTTTATGATTGGCATAAAAGACATGCCTAAGTATGCATGAAAGACATGCATTTCCTGCCTAATTGGTGTGAAAGACACTGTCAATACGTTATGTGTCGGCATAAAAATGCGAATGTCAATTTATCTTCAAAAGACGAAGATAAGTTTCGTTTCGAGATATTATAGAACATATGCAAGTCACAGATACTACGCAGTCCAGTATGAGCTAAAATCACGATGGATCAACCTTTTTCAGTATTTGCGTGTTTCCGGGCCCGAGCCAGGCCCGGGTTGGGAAACAATCCGTACTACTTGGCCCGGGCCCGGGCCCGGCCCAGGTCCGGATACAACCTGTGCTACCCTGCCTGGGCCGGGCCCGGGCCCGGGCTTTCGAATCGGCCCGGCCCCGTGCAGAGCTCTAATACCTTGTGGGTCCCCACAGATCGCGATAAACGTAACCAAGGGCTGCGTGTTACGCGATTGTACGTGTAAGCCGCGGCCTCCGCAATCTGCTTTTTGTGTATGTGTTATGTTGCTTTTGCGTTTTCTTCTGTTTCAATATAGTTTTATATAACGATCGCCGCGGAGCAGCCGGCACTGCGTGAATCTCTCTCACACACACATATCGTCGTCCATCGTCTCCGCCTGCTTATTCTTTGTCCCCAAAACACCCTCACAATATATTTGTTACGAGCGTTCCAGCCGTTGTCCTTTTCCTACTGTCCGCGCTTCGTCCTCCTTCTCCTAATGTCCCCGTTTGTCTTCTGTACTTTCGCCCGTTACAATTGCCCCCCTCCAAGTGACTGTCCGTCGCGGACAGAACCAACGTAGTCATCGCGTACCACATAAAGTTTGAGTTGACTGACATGAGCTGTAAGAGTCCGATGTCTTCCTCGTTGAGGCAGCGCTCGCAAGTCCTCGAAGCGATATGTCACAGGACCGAGTTGCCTGCTTATTTTGAAGGGTCCGCAGTACCTTGGGAGCAATTTCTCGGATCGCTGCGGTCGTCTGAGGTGACTTCGAAGAAGCACTAAATCTCCTGAATTGAACGATGGTCCGGAACTTCAAGCGCGCAGGCTCTGGGTGAGATGTGACTGCTTGTGAAGGATGGCGAGTCGAGCTCTTTCTCCTGCTTCATGCAGTTGCCCAGAGAAGTCGCATTTATAGTCCCGCGCGCGGCGGGTCCACGTCGTGTTCATCGCTGTCTCCTCTGGAAGCGTGGGAAGCCTTCCATGGACCAGCTCGAAAGGCGATTGGCTCGTTGTTTCTTGACGGGATGTATTTATTGCAAACGCAGCAGTGTCAATATATTGGTCCCAGTTCTTGTGAGATGAATTTACGAATGCAGCTAATATATCGCTCAAAGTACGGTTAGTGCGCTCTACCAATCCGTTTGTTTGAGGGTGGTAGGTTGAAGCCGCTGCATGCTCAATCCCGTAGTTCCTAAGGACATCCTTGAAATCACGAGACATGAACGATGCTTCTCGGTCAGAAATGATCATCCCTGGAGTCCCATGCCGCAACACCAGATGGTTGTTCACAAAACTGACGAGGTGTGTCGCTGACGTGTCGGGAACTGCGTGTACCTGAACCCACTTCGTTAAGTAGTCTATGGCCACAATTATGTGCCTGTTGCCATCTTCTGATTTTGGGAATGGTCTCAGATGGTCTATACCGATTACTTCAAACGGACTTCTTGGGGGAGGTAGCTGGTGAAGTCCTGCCTTTTTTTGGTTCGGCAATGTTTTTCGCATTTGGCAAGTGGTGCATGAAGCAACCTACCGCCGAACGTCACCTCTCAAATCCGCCCAACAGAACCTTTGAGCGATTTTTTCTAGTGTCCGGCGTTGTCCAAGGTGACTAGCAGTTGGAGCGTCGTGAGACATGACCATAATGTTGCGGCGCAGACTCGTGGGAACAACAGACAGCCACGAATCTGACTGCCGTGATCGATGGCAGAGAAGCCCGTCACGTAGCTGGTAGTGTGCTCGCAAACGTTGCAGGCGTCGTCTGTGAAGACGAGAAGAGTCATTGTTTGTGTTTGCTAGATGACTGATGATAGCTGACGTCTCTGTGTCGTTTGACTGAGCTGGATGCAAATCAAGCAGAGCTAAAACAGAAACTGATGAACCATCCTCCACGGGATTGCGGGAGAGGAAGTCGGCGTCATGATGGTGTCTTCCGCTTCGGTGAACTATTGCAAAATTGTACTCTTGAAGTTTCATGGCCCAGCGAGCAAGCTTTGGCGTAAGATTGCTCTTCGATTGGAGCCACTGCAGTGCAGAGTTGTCGGTGACCACTGTAAATGTCTTGCCGTAGAGGTAAGGGCGAAACATTTCCACAGCCCACACTACAGCGAGACACTCCAGTTCGGAAGAGTGGTACCGGCTTTCTGGTTCACTAAGCCTCCTGCTTGCGCAAGCAACGGGGCGTTCTCGACCATCTTTGTCCTTTTGAAGAAGGACAGCACCCAAGCCTTCTCCACTGGCGTCAGTGGGGATGACGGTGCGTGTGTCATCCACAAAATGGGCCAGCGTAGGCGGTTCTAGAAGAGCTCTCTTGAGGTCCGCGAAGGCTGCAGCTTCTTCTGCTCCCCATACAAATTTGGCGTCTTTTCTTAGGAGCCGGTTTAGGGGAGAAGCCCTCACTGAAAAGTTCTCCACAAAGCGGCGAAAGTAGGACGCCAAACCTAGAAAGCTCTTTAGTTCCTTTATCGTTGTGGGCACGGGTATATTAGCAAAATCTGACAGCTTTGCAGGGTCTGGACGAATACCGTATTTTTTGACGACATGGCCGAGGTCGATTACTTCGTCATATCCGAAGAAACATTTGATGATTTTACACGAAGTCCAGCTTTCGAGAGGGCATCTAAAACAAGACTAAGACGATGTTGATGCTCGTCAAAGCTCTCGGCATACACGATTACGTCATCGAGGTACACCAAAACCATAGTCCATTTCAAGTGGCTGAGGACTTTATCCATAAGACGCCGGAAGGTCGCCGGTGCATTACACAATCCAAACGGCAAACGTCTGAACTGAAACAGGCCGTCAGGCGTTACGAAGCCTGACTTTTCAGTGTCATCTGGATCGAGTTCAACTTGCCAGTATCCCGAGACGAGGCCCAAGGTCGAGAAATAGTGGGAGCCATGGAGACGGTCAAGGGGCATCATCAAGTCGAGGTACGGGGTACACATCGGGCTTAGTGATGCTGTTCAGCCTTCTATAGTCGACGCAGAACAAATGTCGAGCCATCTTTTTTCTTGACGAGTACCACAGGCGACGACCACGGGCTGTTAAAAGATGTTACTATGCCCCTTCGAAGCATGAGCATATCGTTAACTTGAGCGTTGATTTCCCGTCTCTTGGGCATAGAGACACGTCGTGGGTGTTGATGTACTGCGCGTGGTCACCGGTGTTGATGGCATGGCCGCACGAGGGGCGTATAACCCAGCTCTTCTTTTGTAACGGCGATGCAGCTTCGGAAAT